AAGAGCAGTATACAAATAAAGTAAGTAAGTAAGTAAGTAAATAAATAAATAAATGTTCCAGTTAACAAAACTAGTTAAAGCGATACAAATCAATAACCATACTGCATGAATTCATATGAGAAAAAAAAAGAGATGCAATAAATATATCAACAGGCTCAGCAGTTTTTTTTTTCTGAATGTTCAGATAAGGATTAATACAATAAATAATCTATACATGGTGGAATTACTAAGAAGTTGGCATTTATATACCAAATATTTGCCCGTTATATGTCCCTTTAACTCAACTCTGGGGCACTCAACATTTAAAAATAATGATAGATTTGCTGCCCAGTTTATGTCTTGAAGAAATTGGGGGGGGGGGGTGTACAGAGTTCAAAATCTGCTCGTTCAAGGAAAACCTTCAACAGCAGGGTAACTGCAAATAAAGTTACAGAATAAGAATATAAGAATAAGCAAAGCAAAGTGTAAAGTAGTTCATAGATGACATATATGTCCTAGTAAACTACATTAAATTCATAGAGATACTTCAAAAACGTGCTGGAGATGATGCAAAGCTATCACTGCAACATATATAATTACAACAAAATTTCTGGAGGGAAATAGCAGAGTGGTTGAGTGTAATGCCTAGCCACCCATCCAGTAAAGAAATACATTAACACTCTTTTCCATATTTGATGGAGACACTGGAAAGTTTTTTTGTAAAAAAAATAATTAGCCCGTATATTCCGGAATATAAGACGACTGGGCGTATAAGACGACCCCCAACTTTTCCAGTTAAAATATAGAGTTTGGGATATGCTTGCCATATAAGATTACCCCTCTTCCAATGTACACCAAATAAAAATTTTAAAAGGATCAGACTTGATTTCAATATGGTAATTTTCCTATTACTGTTACCTCCCTTCTCTGCCTCTCAGATCTCGCACATGCGCACCTGCTGTCTTCAGGAGCGAGATCTGAGAGGCAGAGGAGGAGGTACGGTAATAGGATACAAGGGCAGGCCGGTCAGGTAAAAGAGGTGTGTTTTTCTGGGCCCAGAACCACTCTATCTCTTTTTTCCACGCCCTGGACGCCTGCAGCTTGCTCTGCCCTTCACTTACACCTTCCCGGTGAGGCGCCCTTTCATCTCATCATCGGGACCGCATTAAGTCCACGAATCCTGATGAATGGATTTTCTTCTACCATACTTGCACAGCGTCGCTTTCATACAGTCACTGCATACGGTAGGGAAGCGGCCACTGCCATTTTTGAGCTCCCCCCACAATATGTGGCAACCACAGATTCTCCAATCCGGATTGGAAGTTTCAGCACCCGCTCTATAAGACGACTTCTGGCGTATAAGACTACTCCTGCACATAAGACGACTCCCGCGTATAAGACGACCCCTGACTTTTGAGAAGATTTTCTTAGTTAAAAAGTAGTCTTATACGCCAGAATATTCGGTATATTGCTGGAGACATTATTGCATGAGGGTTAGGGCAGGGGTTTGCAGCTGTTTAACAACATACTGTATCATCAAACAATTTATCGCATAACATTGTAGCATGCTAGTACTCACACCCCACCCATTGTTTGGTTGTACATTTTAATTCATGGGGGAAACTTGTGAGCAGACTCCTAAAAGTGCTTCATTTAAGAGTTAATACTAGTACTATAAATAACTGGAGGTGCTATTATTGTGTGAACTCACATGGTGGTGTGGGTATAACTTTCCTTCACTCTAATTTCTTGTTCACAAACTGTGGCCTTTCAGCCTCCAGTGAGGAGTGAGAACTGCCCTAAAGCTCTCCCAATCACTTAATGTAAAACAGGGATGGGCAAGTATCAGAGATTAGAGACTCTCAAAGATTGCATCCCCAAAACTTTCAGATTTTAAAAATGTGCACATTTTGTCCATAATTTGCCTCAATGTTTTGGGGACATGGGGGCAATTTGTACATATTTTTTACTCTACGGGGCCATTATAGTGCTGTTTTACTGTTTACTGTTATTGCTTTAATGTTTTTGATTTGCTTTTGGTTTATATGTAATTGTTATATTGTTGTTTTATTGTGGCCTTAGCCTTTGTAAGCCACATCGAGTCCTTTGGGAGATGCTAGCGGGGTACAAATAAAGATAATAATAATAATAATAATAATAATAATAATAATAATAATAATGTTCCAATACAAACATTCACTCACTTCCTTATGGGACTAAAAAGGTGTGTCCTGCCCCTAAACTCAAACGTGTCAGAATTGGGAGCATCTGGAGTAATTATAGAGCAAACATTGGGAAGATAACAAAATTTGGAGGGTACTGGAGTTTACGGAAATGCCACTCTGGGAATCAACCTGTGGCCAACACTTATTTTCACCCCTTACCTAAAATAAATCTACACATTTTTATCAGATATCACTTGTCTTCTGGTACTCTTTAAAACAGTAGTTCTCAACCTTCCTAATGCCGTGACCCCTTAATACAGTCCCTCATGTTGTGGTGACCCCCCAACCATAACATTGTTTTTGTTGCTACTTCATAACTGTCATTTTACTACTGTTATAAATCATAATGTAAATATCAGATATGCAAGATGTATTTTCATTCACTTGACCAAACTGGGCACAAATACCCAATGCACCCATATGTAAATGCTAGTGGGGTTGGGGGAGGATTGATTTTGTAATTTGAGAGTTGTAGTTGCTGGGATTTATAGTTCACCTATAATCAAAGTGCATTCTGCACCAGCGATGGATTTGAACCTAATTTGCCACACAGAACACCCATGACCAACGGAAAACAGTGGAAGGGTTTGGTGGGTATTGACCTTGAGTTTGGGAGTTGTAGTTAACCTATATCCAGAGAGCACTGTGGACTCACACAATGGTGGATCTGGACCAAACTTGGCACAAATACTCAATATGCGTAAATGTGAACACTGGTGGAGCCTGGGGAAAATAGACCTTGACTTTTGGGAGTTGTAGTTGCTGGGATATATAGTTCATTACAATCAAAGAACATTCTGAACTCCACCAATGATAGAATTGGCTCAAACTTCCCACATGGAATCCCCATGACCATCAGAAAATACTGTGTTTTCTGATGGTCTATGGTGACCCCTCTGACACCCCTTTGCGACCCCCTCAGGGGTCCCGACCCCCAGGTTGAGAAACACTGCTTTAAAACATGACATGGGAAATGCATTCAAAGTTATACAGCTTTTATTAACTAAATCAAGAAAACACAATTTAAAGCATTACGTATTTTAAAACATATTCCTCAAACCAGGATTGACTGTGTCTTCCAGATGTTCTTTGGATGCCACCAGTCCTAGGGCAAATCTACACTGATCTGTTCTCTCAGGACTGTTGTTGCACTCTAGCACTGAAACACTTTCACCTGGCATCACACATGAGTCCAATAGTTCTATCTAAGAATGTTTGTTGAAGAAAGCAGGTCAAAAGAGAATAGGGGCAATTCCAAAAGGGTCAAAGAATAGCAAATATAAAATAGCAATAATCCACAAAGGACATAAAGTCAAGAGCGCCAAAATCCACAGCAATACTTCATACATAAATCCATGAACAAGACAACAGGAACTTTTCCAAGGTAAAGCCTTCAAGAAAACAAAGACAGGAAACTTGAGGATATTTTAAACATGAACTTGAGAGCAGAGACAGACAGGAGAGCCATCCTTTGGCAACACTGTCTCTTCTGAGAGGCATAAAGCCTAATTTATGCCCGACCAAGTAGCCATGAGATCATGCCGAACACATCTGGACTCCAAGGTCTTCTCACAGATTCTCTCAGAATGTGTGATTAGTCTATTTTTCACTCCCTCCATTCTCAAACCTAATCTGGTTTCTCGGGGAAACTCCCCATCAGTCAAAGGCCTTTTCCCAAGAGAACTGGTTTTATTTTCCCACTGGGAACGATCACAGGAATGCAAAACATCATCCTCAACTGTCTGCAATTCTCTCCTAGTATTGACAGACTCATCACTTTGAAACTCATCAAACCCCTCCTCCTCTAACATTTCAGAAAAATACTCTGCCACTTGCTGAGCTACAACAATTGTATTGTTTTTGTATTGTATGTGATATTATGGTTGGAAACTGGTCTGAGTCCCTCAAGAGAGGTGAGAAGGCCGGTATACAAAACTAATAATAATAATAATAATAATAATAATAATAATAATAATAATAATAATAATAATAATAATAATAATATTGGCCCCTGCAGAGCCAGTAGAAATTACCAAATGCCCAGCACTGAATCTGGTTTGGTGCTGCTGAACCTGGTTTGGCACCTTACTGTTCCCTCCTATTCTTGTTGCGGTGGTTTCCAGGTGCAACGTGGCCAATTGGCCATCTCATGCAGTGGCATTGGATGGGACGATGAGACAATCAGGGAGGTTGAAGAAGAGGAGGGGGTGATTTTTTCTCTCCTCTCTCCCTGGTCAACCTTTCCAACATCATTGCAGGCAATAGCTGACCAGCAGGAACCATGTCATGTCCAGAAACCGCTGCAACATGGAGAGTGGAAGGAAACATCCATTCCCAGGTTGTCAAAGCCTGGGAAACATGGGATGGCAGTGTTCAATCGTAGTCACATTTTCACAATTTGGAACCAGCCAAATTGTTTACATGGGCCCAAAGTGGTGGGTCAATCCAAATCTGGACAGAATTCAAAGTATCCTATGACTTTGGTTAACATGTGTCAAGTGGTAAGGTAGACTGGCCTGCATAACCCCAGATCAACTCCATGCAGCATCTGGCAGCCATGAACTATTTTGAAGACCCTCCGCATGAAGTGGTTGGTGTAGCCGTATCCCTAGTCACCACAGCTGGAAATGCTATCCAGCACATAATCTTAAGGTCAGCAACATGCCATTCCTTGGGACTTAAGTCAATAATCTGCAATCTGCCAACTCTAGTTCAGCCACACTGGAGTGTGTGTGTCACTGCTGTATATCCCAGCTGGGGACCTCAACAAAACATTGCTGTGACTTGAATGCTTACCTTGAAAGAAACTTTTAACTCGAAGATAACTGACGCTGAGGCGTAAAACAGAGAGTTTGTCCAATTTAGCAATTATGTCTGGTGGGAAAGGCAGGAGGCTGGCCAGGTGATCTAGTTCAGCATTCAGTCGGTCTCTATGTCTCTTTGAAGGATTTGTTTTTCCAGTCCCAGAAGTAGGCCTCCTGTTTGTGGAGAAAATGAATTACTGAGGCTCAGTTTCTTCAAAAAACATAGTGACAGCATTCAGTTATCAACTAGAAAGACTATATGTAACAAAAAAAAAAAATTAAAAATCTGTTCCTGGTTTGAAAGTCTTATTTCCTGTTTCATTGTGTGGTGCTTACTTCAAAAGTGATTGTTATCCTCCAGAAACTTCATTTTTGTGGCTGCCATTTTTAACCTTTCAATGTGCCATTTTAACCTTTTGTGCAGTTCACAAAAACAAAGTTTTTGCAGTTTAATAAACTTTTTTCCATGTTTTATGAAAGAACCAATTAAGAAATGACACTTATAACCCAGGAACAAAAATTGTGTTACAATAATTTGTACGCAGCAAATCAGGAGAACTATAGTTCTGACAGATAAGAATGAACCTACAGAGAAAATGGTTCATTCTGCTACAAGTAAAGTTTGTATTTGCATTTTTTCTGTGTCAGGAGTGACTTGAGAAACTGCAAGTGGCTTCTGGTGTGAGAAAATTGGCCATCTACAAGGACGTTGCCCAGGGACGCCTGGATGTTTTACCATACTTGTGAAAGGCTTCCCTCATGTCCCTGCATGGGGAGCTGGAGCTGACAGAGGGAGCTCATCTGTGCTCTCCCTGGATTCGAACCTGCGACTTGTTGGTCTTCAATCCTCCCAGCACAAGGGTTTATATGCATTATCTCTACAAATCATATGTTATGGAAACCCAAATGCATGATAGCTATATTATTTATTTATTTATTTATTTATTTATTTAAAACATTTATATTCTGCCCTTCTCACCCCGAAGGGGACTCAGGGCGGAGCACAGCATATACACGGCAAACATTCAATGCCGGGACACAGATTCACATCGGCTTATACTCGAGTATATACAGTATAAATGATATCAGAAAAACATCAAATTATTGTGTTGGATCATATCTTTAAGCGAAAGGAAAACACACACATCTGCAGATGAAAATGAGAAAGGCATTGATAATACCTGCATTCTAAGTTTATAAATATACCCATATAACTCCCATTGTGTTTGCTGCCACAATAAAACCCAAGAACTGAAATATCAGCAAGTGTAAAAATTACATTAGAGATCTCAGCTACCCACCTTCACTCGGGGTATTAAAATGTCTGGGATTCCCTGAATTAAGGGGGTGATTGTCATATATGTTTAGGTCTAATGTACATATTTCCAAGGAAGGTACCACTGATATCTTGCATAGTCTTATCAGTATCCTACACCATACAGTCTTTATAGTCACACATATTATCAGTTTATGAGGCAACAATGATAACACTGTTCTACAAATTTTCAGTTTTTCTCAGTTTCGGAAACGAAATGTGCCGTTTCTTAATAAATTTAACATGCTGAATTCAAATATAATAATTAAATGTGTTAATTGGCTCTGGTTTTTATGCAACAGCTATTTCAATTTTCTCCACAATAGGTAATTCGTTAATATTATGATAATGCGCCTAACCTTACTGCATGTATATAAACCGTGAATATTTACTAAATTTTAGTCAAATTATATTGCCAATAGTTTATACATGAGAAATATTTATTTAATTAGTCTATTGTTTATGTTTGTGCAGCAAGAAACTATATTAGTAGGCCTAATGCAGTTGAAAAGTCTGAAAGTTTAAATGTCGCTTTAATCGTGACTTTAGTTTATATCCTGTTTGCTTCTCTTGACTTTTCTTTTGTATTCAAGGAAAGGATTGTCTCTTACAATGCTCCAGCAGTAGTCTGACAGCATTGGCGGAGTCCATTTACCTTGATATCTTTTTTCCATAGTGCTTTATTTACACACGTGCAAGGCATAACTACAGTAAAAAGAACAATGTAAAACGATGTTTAACGATACTGTCTCAGTCTTCAACTGACTGACCCTCACCGTTCAAAAGTCTGGCCTTATATAGGGCTTTCTGGCTTTTGCACACGGCACTAATACTGCGTCATCAAACTTTCTAGAATATTCTAGAATCTTCCATAGTGTAAGTCGCAACATGCATTTTTTCAACCATACGTGATCACGTGATTGCTTATATCATAAAAACTAGAGCCAATATACATTTTTAAATGTCATTTTCGTTTTCAGCACCCAAAATCATAAAAGAACAACTATTTTCAGGCCCGCAACTTTTTCTCCGTTGAACAGTGTAATAGGAGCAAGGAAAACGAAGGAGCCATGGATAGCAGGTTAGAAATATATACAATTTGTAAAAGGCACTTAAAATAAAATGGATATCCAAGAGTGTTGTAAGAATAAAATGGAAATCTAACAGGTGGGACAAAATGAAGTAAGTCAATACTTAACTGTTTCTGAATGGGTTTCCGTCTTTTCCTTCCAGCATACAGACATTCCCCCGGTGGAATCATTGTTCTGGCATCGAAACTGAAAAGCATATTCCATTCTAGTCAAATAAATCAGCAAAAATGAAATTACAGAACACTTCCACTACTTAACTGTATAACCAGCGTTATGTCAATATCCTAGTTTGTTATTGCATACAGAGCAGGAGTAGGCAACTTTGCAAGGCTATGAGACCACATTAGCTCCCACTGCATCCGTTCCCCTAAAAATAATTGCTCCTAATAGAAAGAAGAACCAGGAAAATAAGATGATGATGATGATGATGATGATGATGATGATGATGATTATTATTATTAACTTTATTTGTACCCCGCTAACATCTCCCGAAGGACTCAATGTGGCTTACAAAGGCCAAGGCCTCAATAAAACAACAATACAACAATACACATAAACCATAAAACAAATCAAAGCATTAAAGCAATAAGAGTAAACAGTAAAAACAGTACACCATAGAACAATAAAACTAAGGCCGGGCCAAGTGTAAATGGATACAGATTAAAAATGCTGCGTATGACAGTTGAAATATAAGGATTTTTGGGTAAGTACAATGTGCGGACAATCTTAAATCTCTAGTAAAGTGCTTCTGGGACATATTGCTGGGGTTTCCTATTCTGGAAAGGCACACCAGAATAGCCAAGTCTTCAAGCTCTTCCTAAAGACTGCCAATGTAGGGGCCTGTCTGATGTCCTTGGGGAGGGCGTTCCAGAGTCAGGGGGCTACCACAGAGAAGCCCCTGTCCCTCGTCCCCACCAACCGCGCTTGCGACACAGGTGGAATCGTGAGCAGGGCCTCTCCAGATGAACGAAGGGAGCGTGCGGGTTCATAAATGGAGATGCGGTCACGTAGGTAGGCAGGTCCCAAACCGTTTAGGGCTTTGTAGGTGAGCACCTGCACCTTGAATTGGGACCGGAAAATGAACGGCAGCCAATGGAGCTCCTTGAACAGGAGGGTTGACCTCTCTCTGTAAGGAGCACCGGTTAACATCCTGGCTGCCACCCGTTGGACTAACTGAAATTTCCGAGCCGTTTTCAAGGGCAGCCCCACGTAGAGCACATTACAGTAGTCCAATCTAGATTCTGACTGTAAATAGAAGGTCAGCTGCTGTCCTCTCCTTTTTGCCTTGTATTTTATTTGTGTTGTATTTTGAAATGGTCATATGACTAGTAAAAAAAAAATAATTATTACAATTGCTCCCAATTGCCCTTTAGAACATTACTTCTAGAACTGTGGGTCCTGACCCAAAATGGAGTCATTTTTTCCCCAAATGCCACCTAGTGAGAGAGGGCCTTCTCGCTGGTGGCCCCCCGCCTCTGGAACGCCCTTCCAAGGGAAATAATACAAGCCCCATCCCAACTCTCTTTTCGTAAGAGTTTGAAGATTTGGTGGTTTCAACCCATCTTTGAGAGTGACCAGTGCTAGTTCAGCCTAGACACTGTCCGGACACAACCTTGCCCCTATATATTACCCTGGTCGTTCCCCCAACAGGCCCCTGGAAATAGACCATCCCTGCTTTTGTCGCTTACCTATTACAGTATTGTACCTAAATGCCGGTCCCATCTTATTTAAATATAAGGTATTGTTAAAATGTAATAAGCTGAAGCAGAGTTTGCACTATTTCCTGAGTTTGCTAAGAGATCTCCGCTTTTGCTGCCTCATCGGTAATTTTTTCAAAGGGCAGCTTTTGTAATTGGGAGGCAGAGGCGGCCCTAGGTAATTTTCAACAGTAAGCAAACAGTATTTTGGCACCCCCACAACCAATCATTGATATATATTTTCTGTTTGTTGTGGGACTTCTGTGTGCCATATTTGGTTCAATTCCATCATTGGTGGAGTTCAGAATGCTCTTTGATTGTAGGAATCTTGGGGTTTTTCCTGCCATGGAGATTGGCGATCCTATCGACACCTTGGTCGATCTCTATAACAGGGAAATGACCAGGGCGATAGATACGATCGCTCCCGAACGCCCCATCACGTTGCGTCATGACAAACCGTCCCCCTGGTTCACGGGGGAGCTGGCTGTGATGAAGCATGCAAGGAGGGGGTAGAGCGCCCTTGGAAGAGTTCTCGGGACGTATCTGATCGAGCACGGGCTACAGCTTCTCTTAGGGCATATACCGTGGCTATACGGGTAGCCAAGGAGTCCTATACGACTACCCGTATAGCGTCTGCAGCAAACAGATCATCGGAGTTGTTTCGGGTCGTTGGGGAGCTCCTTCAGCCACCTGTGGTGGAGGAGATTTTTGACGACCCGGCAACTCGGTGTTGCGATTTCGCACACCATTTTGCAGACAAAGTCACTCAGATACGCCTTGAGCTCGACTCCAATTTCATCGCAGTGCCAGAGGAGGTGATTGAGGCATCTGTTTGTCCAATTTTGTGGGATTCTTTTAGGCTTGTTCCTCCTGAGACCATGGAGGAGGTCCTTGGGGCTGTGAGGGTGACCACGTCGGCTCTGGACCATTGCCCGTCTTGGCTAATTAATCGGCCAGGGAGGGGTTGGTTGATTGGTTTTGGTTAATCATTAATGCATCATTGGAGCAGGGGGTTTTTCCATCTCTCCTGAAACAAGCTGCTGTTCGTCCACTCCTTAAAAAGGTTTCCCTTGACTCCACGGTGCCGAGCAATTACAGACCGATCTCCAACCTCCCTTTCTTGGGTAAGGTGCTGGAGCGAGTGGTTGCCTCCCAGCTCCAGGGCTTTTTAGATGACATCAACTACCTAGATCAGTCACAGTCTGGTTTCAGGCCTGGTCACTGCACCGAGACAACCTTGGTCGCCTTGGTGGATGACCTCCGTAGAGAGCTGGACAGGGGGAGTGTTACTCTGTTGGTTCTCTTGGACATCTCAGCGGCTTTCGATACCATGGATCATGGTATCCTTCTGGGACGACTCTCTGGGATGGGTCTCGGGGGCACGGTTTTGTCGTGGCTCCGATCCTTCCTGGAGGGTCGATCCCAGATGGTGAAGCTGGGAAACGCCTGCTCTGACCCCTGGCCATTGACCTGTGGGGTCCCGCAAGGCTCCATTCTGTCTCCCATGCTTTTCAACATCTAAATGAAACCACTGGGAGAGGTCATCCGAAGTTCTGGAGCTAAGTGACACCTCTACGCAGATGACACACAGCTCTACTACTCCTTTCCACCTAATTCCAAGGAGGCCTCTCGGGTGCTGGACGAGTGCCTGGCCGCTGTGTCTATCTGGATGAGGAGGAACAAGCTGAAGATCAATCCCGACAAGACAGAGGTCCTTCTGGTCGATCGTAAACCTGACCGGGGTATAGGGTGGCAACCTGTGCTGGACGGGGTTACACTCCCCCTGAAGTCACAGGTCCGCAGTTTGGGAGTCCTCTTGGATTCATCGCTTACGCTTGAGGCTCAGGCGTCGGCGGTGTCTGGGACGGCTTTCGCACAACTGAGACTCGTGCGCCAACTGTGACCGTACCTCGCGAAGGCAGATCTGGCCGGAGTGGTCCATGCCTTGGTCACCTCCAGATTCGACTATTGCAATGCGCTCTACGTAGGGCTGCCCTTGAAGACGGCTCGAAAGTTCCAACTGGTCCAACGAGCAGCAGCCAGGATGCTAACTGGGGCCCCTTACAGAGAGAGGTCAACCCTCCTGTTTAAGGAGCTCCACTGGCTGCCGTTTATATTCCGAGCCCAATTTAAGGTGCAGGTGCTTACCTACAAAGCCCTGAACGGTTTGGGACCAGCCTACCTGCGTGACCGCATTTCCATCTACGAACCCACGCGCTCACTTCGGTCATATGGAGAGACCCTGCTCGTGATCCCACCTGCGTCGCAAGCGCGCTTGGTGGGGACGCAGGACAGGGCCTTCTCCATGGTGGCCCCCCAAATCTGGAACACCCTCCCCAAAGATCTTAGACAGGCCCCTACACTGGCAGCCTTCAGAAAGAACCTGAAGACCTGGCTATTCCGATGCGCCTTCCCAGATTAGGAAATCTCCACTACCAAGTCCCATAAGCACTTTACTAGAACCAATGATTGCTGCACATCACACACCGCACTAGCCCTAGAAGCCTTATATTATACCTCCTGTCACATCAGCACTTTTAATCTTGTACCCATTACCCTGGCCTGGCCCAGTTCTATTGTGTTAAGTGTATTGTTTATTGCCTGTTGTTCTTTTTGCTTTATTTTGTTTTAAATGGTTTGATTTGCTTAGATTGTATTGTTATATTGTGTGTTGAGGCCTCGGCCTGTGTAAGCCGCATCGAGTCCTTCGGGAGATGCTAGCGGGGTACAAATAAAGTTTAATAATAATAATAATAATAATAATAATAATAATAACAACTATACATCCCAGTAACTACAACTCGCATATGTCAAGGTCTATTTTCACCCAAGAGCGCCTCAAGAGTGCCCCTTGGCAAAATCAACTATACCGCAAATGCTTACTTTGCGTAGGGAGGCTTACCTATAAGGCAGGTGCATACAGGGCATGCAATGAACAGGTGTCGTAATAAATCCCGAAATGCCGAGATCCTGACAATCCCCACAACTAGCCAAAGAGTCCTAAAAACTCAGGCATAGCTATGTGAATCCATCTCTTTTTCCTTCTCATCTGTATACTGCAATATATATATACTGACAAGAGAAATAGAGAGATGGCAGAGGATAGTGAAGTGAGTCGTATATTGGACTTCAGACTGCACAAAAAAAGGAGACATGTGTCCCAACCAACATAAGACCACTAATTCAGTATTTTCAAAGAATTCCTTTCTTGGCATGTGGAATGAATACATTAAACTAGCTGTGAACAAACCAGTTTTAACAGTTTGCATATCCAACAGGAGCATTGCCTTTTTAATGAAACGTATTTGCTCGTTCAAGTGGGAAAACTTACTACAATATTGTCGTGTGTTTTTTTGTGTTTAATCTCTGTTCTGTGTATTTTAATATGCATTTTATACGAATACATTTTAATATGTATTTTATAGAAATACATTTTGATATGTGTATTTATAGAATTTTACACTGTTTATGGATTTTAATTATACTGTAATCTGTCCACAGCAGGGGT